TTGTAGGTAGTTTTTTTTTATTTCTTAATATAGAAATGAAAATTTTTAATAATAAGGGATATTTGAATTATGTCCTCGCAAATAATTTAGGGACCCATCTTTAGTTATGTGTTTTGTGAAGTATCTTTATATTGGTTTTCTCTATTATTCTAATAAGCTTTTTGAGTTATATTACTGGTTTCAATTTTACAGCCTGCTATCTTATGGTTACTGTGGGTTATTGCTTTTGAATTTGTTATACTATATATATGTGATATAGATTCCAGTCTTTATCTGATGATATTCAAATTTGGTCAATTCTGTTTTTGTGTTTCTATTGTTCTGCCATGTACAGTATATTCTTTCCAATATGGGTGTACCTCTCAAAATATGTTGATATATTCATTATATTTGAGAAATTTAAGGATATGTGATATTAGGTTGTTTGATTTGTTCTGGTTTTTGGCCAATATTGCCTTGTCTAATCTGGGGTTTGAAATGGAGTTGAAGTTCCCTAGAATGATGACTTTGTGATTGTTCTTTCTTGCTATCTGCATTCTCTTCTCAATCCAATATATTGTTAAATCTCTTTCTTTATCTAAGGCTGCTGATATGTATGATGGGATAATTGTGACTACAGTTTTTTGTTTGAAATTTAAATTAATACTGATGCCTTTTTCTATATATTTAATGGTTTTGCCCATATGTGTTGCAATATTTTGTTGAATTATTATTGCAATTTTTATACCTTTGTTATTATTTAATCACCAGGTTCTATAGTTGAGAAATCTCCAGAATATTGTTTCTTGTTTTGTTACTTGTGTTTCTGTTATTATTGTAATATTTATTTGTTGTTTTTTATAGAAGACATACCATTGAAGTCTTTTTGATTCATCATTGATATCTCTAATATTATATGTCACAATGTGTCAAGTATTGGAGAGTTTGTTACATGTATTTGCATTATTTGTATGTATTATGTGTTTTATATGCATGTATATATCTGGTATGAAAGGTGTACTGGTTATTTTGTCTATTTTTGAATGGTTTTTTGTTTCTTTTTTATCTGAAAGAGTGTTTTCATCTAAAAGTATGCTTTATCTAAATAGTTATCTATTGAATTGTAGATATTGAAGAGATTGTTAACTACAGTATATTATATGCATTAGTGTTTGTGCTTGGATTGTTTTCCATTATTGATGATTGGTCATATTGTTTGTATTATCAGAAACAAGGTTATGGATAGTACTTATGAGGTTGTTTATTGTTTGATTGGTATTTTGAATAATTACATGGATTTGTTTTTATCATGCTTGAAGATCTTGAATTTTATTATTATTTTTGTATTCATTTTCTTGATTGGTTTCAACTGGACTGTTATCTATGTTATGTTCTGAAATAGTTTCTGTTTTCTTCATGACTTCCACTATATCTTCATCGTAGTATTCCAGATTTGTAATTCTTTTATCCATTTCAATCATTTGTTATTTAATTTCTGTTAGGTCATGTTGTACTTATTGAAGGATTTTTAAAATTTATTGCAGATTATTTGAACTGTTTGCTAATTGGATTGTGTTTGTTATATTTTGACTGCTGCTGCATAAAATCCTGGCTTGCTTAAACCTTGTTAAATTTGTTTTGTTTTTATTATTTTTCTTATATTTGGTTTTGATAGTTTAAACTTTTGATATAATCTGTCAAATTTAGTTGCTTGTTCTTGATTATACTATTGCCATTGTATTTTTCTTTCTTTGATTGAGCAGTTTGCTGCTAGATGTATATATATTACAAATTGCACAAGTCTTATTATTGATTTGAGCCCATGTAATTTGTATTTCTTCAAAAGTAAACTCATTTTCTAATGTGTTCTGTAGATCAACTTGATTTTTAAAACTGATGACCACTACTTTCCTTCTATGATGGCTATCAGTCTTGGGAATGTAGCATGTTTTTGCTTTAATCTGTTGGCAGATTGTATATAGGTTGAATGCAATTATATTTGGAAGTAGATTGACTAGTTTTGCTATAATATTTCCTCTGTTTTTATTTTCTATAGGCTTAGTTATATATCGAATACTCTTACTACATCTGCTTTGAGTGGAATGCTTTACATATATGCTAGTTTCTTCTTGTTGCTCTTATCTTGAAATATAATATGGATGGTTTGTCACATGTGCTAGGTACTTATACTCATATTGGTAATTTGTCCATATATAAAAAAGGCTTGACATACTTCTATGGGTTTTGTATTCAGGAAAATGTTCCATACTCTAATACTATTTTCCTGTTTTGTATAGGGAGTTGTGAGTGATATGTGGATTATATGCTTGTTGTCCTCCAGAAAGTTGATTATATATGCTAGATCTGTGGCTTGCCTATTATTGAAAATGGCTATAATCTACTCTTTTTCTTGTTTTCCTTCTTTGTGAATTGCAAGAATACCTTCAAGGCTGTCCAATACTTTCATGACATATTGTATTTTTTGCCAGGTACTATCTCCTGATACATCTAATGCTTTGATTCTTATTTTGCTTCATTGTCTACCATATCTTATGATTCTGTTGAATGGTAAATGTGGTCTGGATTTAGTGCTTGTTCTCTCAACATTTCCTTTTCCTTTGACTGTTTTTCATCTATTCTGTTTATTAGGAGATTCTTGGTCAGAGGCATATATTTCTTTGTTACTGTTATTGATTCTTGTTAATTCTAATTCAGATGAGTTTGGTTTGTTATCTGAGAATTGTGTTTTTTCCTCCTGTGGTTTCTTGTTCTATGCTGCTTTTTCTGAGATTATTTGGGAAGTGCTAGATGTTTCTCCAAGTTCTTTCTCCATTATTTGACTTCACCTACCTTCTGTGCTTACCTGTATAGGTGTTGAAGTTGCTTTTTTGATATGTTCTTGTTATTGTTCCTTCACTTTGAAGGGTAGCATTGGCACTCAAGTTGGTGTTTTTGTTTTTGTCTTGTCTTGTTTCTTGATAAGTTTCTGTACTGGGTAGAGTGTTATTTCTCTGCTCTTTGTATTGTTTCTTCCCTTGGACATGTCTATTGTATTGTAGTTCAGCCTAATGGCTAGGTTAGAGCTTCTCAAACTCCTGTTTGCATTTATTTTTTCACTTCATTTTGGTTTTCTTTTTTGGTAACTATATGTTTTTGGAAAAGAGTGATTAAATAAATTTAAATTTATAGACTAGTGGATCAATAGTACAGTGGGTAGTGCTCCCTGGTCTCCAAATGCATGTTCCTAGTTCAATACCCACAGGGGGCAAAAATGCATAATATTCCTTCATTTGTGGGTTTATCGGTTTTTCTACAAATGTCGTACTCCAAACATCCGGATCCTGACCAAATTTAGTTAGGCTGCATGAAGATGGGACCTCTGGTCTT